TCACGCACCAACAAAACTGACCACAAATTCAAAGGCTAATACCGCGGAACAGTTTTCACAAGTGTAGTTTGTCTCGTCCGCGCAGGTGCCAGGGCAGTCACACACGTTGTTGTCCACCAAGCTCTTGTTGATGGTGCACCCAGGTGTGCCACCGTCGTCCGGACAAATGAAAGGATCCGTGACCACCCCGGGTCCCAAGCAGCGTTGGCTGAAGAACTGGTCCAGAGCTGGGTCACGGCACCGACGGTCGGGACATGCATCCGGACTCTCCGAAAAGGATGAACGCGATGTCAGTCCCACACCGCATTCCTCACAGCTGTGAAACTCTTCATCAGCGCAGCTTCCTGGACAATCACAGTAATCGTCATTTAAATAGCCCCTGGGTATCCAGCAGCTAGTGTTGGGACACTGGAAGTCTGGTGTCCTCGGTACCACCTGCTTATTGGCCAGCCTGACGGGTTTGATTAGTGCCACGACTTCTGGATAAAGGTTTAGAGATCCTGTGGCCTTGTCGTAAGCCAGCCCAGCTCCGAGGATTTGGCTGCCTCCTGCTTCAGGATATTGCGAATCTGCCAGCCACCTGGGCCAAGAACTAGCTGATGTGGCTGGTGGCCCAATTCATTCACGTTTGGGGGGGGTAAAAATGAAAGAAACCCAAACCCCAAACCCCAACCACTACCACCACCACCACCACCACCACCATTTGTGTCATCATTGTCATCATTAACATATATATTATCATCATGATCATAATCATGCATGATCATGATCATGATCATGATCATCATTGTCGTCATTGTCGTTGTCGTTGTCGTCGTCGTCGTCGTCGTCGTCATCGTCGTCGTCCTCCTCATCATCATCATCATCAACAACAACAACAACAACTTCACCATCAGCATCAGTGCCATAATCATTCAACACCTTTAATTTAAATTATATAATCAAAAATGTCATCATCAACATCATCAGCGATATCATGATGGGTGTCATCACCACCACCATCATCACCATCACCATCCTCATCGTCATCGTCGTAGGTGAACAATTAAAAGTATCCGGAGCTCATGTCCGGACTGTTGGGATCTGGGATGGCTTCCATGTCATCTGCTGGGAAAGTGATGACTGCAAGCTTACCCAGTCCTGAAAGCCCCCATCAAGACAGAAAAGTGACCCCGAAACATTCCGCAGCCTAAGTTTTATGGCGATTTATACCTTCGCATCTTGCCAAAACCATCCGAAACCAAACGCATGCATAAAAAACATAACCTTTTACATTTCCAAAATTGACCACATTCCAAGCTGCTGCAGATCCAGTAGGTTCTGCTTGCTGCGCCGGTCCAAGGCACACTCTACGAATTCACCACAGGTGGCAGGGCAACCGGGGCCAGGGACCAGGGTGCCTCCCAGCTGAAACTGGACAGGCGTCTCCTGCTTCTGCTGAAGTTCCTGGCCAGCAAGGGCCGCTATAGCACCCTGTCGTCATGATAATTGAGCATATAATGGTTCAGACTTCTTAAATCCTTTAGGATGCCATTTTTGGCAAATATTTTTTTTATGATTTATTTATGATTTGAATACGATTTCCATTTATGATTTTTTTATGGGTTCAAATTGTGGTTATGATTTTTTTATGGTTTGGATATGTTTTTTTTATGGTTTTGGATATGATTTTTTTATGATTTTTTTATGTTTTTTTAGTCCTCAGAATCTGGTTTTCAGCTATAAAAACTCGAGAAATTCTCGAGTTTTTAGCTGAAAACCAGATTCTGGGGACCTTGGATGCATTTACGATTTTTTTACGATTTTTTTACGATTTTTTTACGATTTTCCTAGAGAAACTCTAGCAAAATCATAAAAAAATCGAAAATTTCTCGAGTTTTTAGCTGAAAACCAGATTCTGGGGACCTTGGATGCATTTACGATTTTTTTACGATTTTTTTACGATTTTGCTTCCAAAATCAAATTTTCTGCTGAAAAGGCTTTGGGGAAAAGGAAACTCTAGCAAAATCATAAAAAAATCGAAAACTTCTCGAGTTTTTAGCTGAAAACCAGATTCTGAGGACTAAAAAAACCATAAAAAAATCATAAAAAAAACATATCCAAACCATAAAAAAATCATAACCACAATTTGAACCCATAAAAAAATCATAAATGGAAATCGTATTCAAATCATAAATAAATCATAAAAAAAAATTATTTTGAAACCCCTCCATCCTAGAGACTTAGGAACTCTGAATATAATGGTAAGATGTCCGGATTAAGAAAACGTGTGGATATTATGTGGATATAGCATACGCGCACACACACACACAAAAAATGTAATATACTGTAATATAAGATAAAATGCTAAAATATGATATAGTAGAATATAATATAGTATAATTAAAAACAATATAACATAATGTGATAATATGTTATGTTACATTACATTATATTATATTACATTATGTACTATTATAAAAAATAATATATGATATTAAATAATAATATTTTTAAAATATAAAAATAAATAAAAATAATGAAATATTGTATTGTATCATATTATATAATATTACAGAATATATGGTATACAATATTATACAATATGAAAAATATAATGTTATATGATATTATATGGTATTAAATGGTATAATAAAACCTTTTATAATACAATATTTTAAAATAAAATAAAATACAATAAAATAGAATATAATAATTTATAGTATAATAAAATAATATAATATTAAAACAATATAATATTAAAACAATATAATATAATAGAATTCAAAAGTATATAATATAAGATAATTTTAAATAATATAATGAAAAAATGAAAATAATAACAATAAATAATATAATAAAATAAAATATAACCTAACAAAATAAAATATAATATAACATAACATAACAAAACATAATATAACATAATATAACATAATAAAACATAATACAACATAATATAACATAATATAACATAATATAACATAATAATATAATATAATATAATAGAATAGAATAGAATAGAATAGAGTAAAATATAACATATTATATTATAATATAATATAATATAATGAAATATAATATAGTTTTGTTCAGGCACCTGCCTCTATCAGTGTTTTGGCACACGTCCAATGTTGTCCTCGATGTTGTAAGTGATGTTGTGAATTTCTCGTTTTTTGTCTTACGTAAATTTTGACGTTGTAAACGCCGATTTTTTTTGTCTTACGTAAATTTTGACGTTGTAAACCCCGATTTTTTTTCTCTTACGTAAATTTTGACGTTGTAAACCCCGATTTTTTTCTCTTACGTAAATTTTGACGTTGTAAACGCCATTTTTTCCTAACGTACATTTTGACGCTGTATAAACGCCAAATTCTTTTTTCTTACATAAATTTGGATCTTGTAAACGCCACTTTTAGTCTTGTTCATGTCATGATTGATGTTATCAACCCCGAACTTTTCTTGCTTCAAGTCATGACTGACATTGTGAGTTGTATTTTTTTGTTTCCTGTGATTTATGCGTCATGAGTCATGATTCATGATTTACTATGCGCGCCCATTTTTGTTCATGTCGTTATTGCAATGATGTTTTTGATGTTGAGATGGGTCAATTCTTTTTGTATTGTCACACATGATTCCTGATTACAGTTTTTGGTTTTTGTTTGTTTCTTGAAATTCAGCTGGCATTGAAGCTGGTGGGTGTGTTTAACTTGTCTTTTTGTCCCTCCATTGGCCCTTCATTTGTTGGTTATGCCGTCGTCGTCGTCGTCGTCGTCGTCGTGGTTGTTGTTGTTGTTGTTGTTGTTGTTGCTCTTCTTCTTTTTCTTCGCTTTCCTGTTCTTGTTCTCGTTGCTCCGTTCTTGGTGATAACCGTGCTTGTGGGTCATTGAACACATTGGTACATGTTGCGTTGTCACATCGTCACTTCCTGCTGAAAGTGTTGCATAATGCATAATGCTGAATAAATGATGAACTACTTCGTTTCCTTAAACCTGGTAGATCCTGGTAGGCTGTGGCAAGTAAAACTGGTAGGTAACGGCAGGTAACAAGACAAGACTCACCTGCGAGAAAGGCAGGTCCGATCAGGATGCACGCACGCATGCACGTCCACGCACGCACGCACGCACGCACGCAACGCGACTCTACGCGCCCCGAAACCAGGCAAAATTCGATCTCACTGAAGTACTGTGTGACTAGTGCCAGTGCTGTAAACTTATGGGCAAATGTGTGATGACACACAGGCAAATTATAGAGGCAAGAGCTTAATATAAACACAGTCCCGAACTATCCCGAACTATTCCGAACTATATGAAATGCATCCGAACGGTTCAGAACGGTTCAGGTGTCACACCGTTTTCCCCATCCTTGCCCCCAGGATGGATCTCAGAGGGCCACTGACCGCTCACGTGACAAGATTGCCTGCCTTAGACGGGTTTGGTTGTGACATATACTTGTCAGAAGATTGTGAAATTTAGCCTAAATTTCTTCCAGCCCCGTTCTTTGGGAAAACATTCTGCCACGACTTGTGTCACAGCCTAAGTTACTTTCAGACATGTTTTTCTTCACCGAAGTTTTACTTGAAGTACCTTGGCCTATGGCAATTTACAATTCACAACTTGCAACTGACATCACTTGTCTTACAACTTTTCTTCCTCTTATAATTTGTAACTAACTTAAAACCTCATAGCTTAAAAAATTTACTTGCTTACAAGTCATGCATCTTCAACTTGTCAACTTAAATGCTAATATATTGTAAAAATTGCCCACTTTTAAGCTTAGAATCTAAGGCAAAAACCTGCTACGCTTGAACCGTTCTGAACCGTTCGGTGTATCGGAGGCCTGAGTTCGGAATAGTTCGGAATAGTTCGGAATGGTTCGGAATAGTTCGGAGACGCCTGAACCGTTCTGAACCGTTCGGATGTATCAGAAACTGATACGCCTGAACCGTTCTGAACCGTTCGGATGTACCGGAAATTTACCATGTTTTAAAAGTATTTTTCTGTATTTTTTGAACTTAACTTGAACTTAATGTTTAAACATATTTAAACATGTAATTTTATCATCATTGACATGGATAACTTACTGATAACTTAATAACCTTTCAACTGGTGGGCTGACAAAAGCAAATACTTTAACTTAACTTATCACTTATCAGAATAATGAATCAAAACTTCATAATGAATCAAAAATGCCAAATTTACAGCAGCAAAATTTACGTCGGGAAAAAACACCAAATTTACAACAAAATTTACGTGAGGAAAAAAAACACCAAATTTACATCAAAATTTACGTGAGAAATCGTGAGAAAAAATATGCCAAATTTACAATATCAATATTTACATGAGAAAAAAACGCCAAATCTACAACATCAAAATTTGCGTGAGGAAAAAAAACGCCAGATTTACAACAAAATTTGCGTGCGAAAAAAAAACAATTTACAACATCAAAATTTACGTGAGAAAAAACAACGCCAAATTTACAACATCAAAATCTAGGTGAGGAAAAAAAACGCCAAATTCACAGCATCAAAATTTACGTGGAAAAAAAAAACGAGAAATTCACAACATCAAAATTTACGTGAGAAAAATAAACGCCAAATTTACAACATCAAAATTTACGTGAGAAGAAAAAAAAACACCAAATTTAAAACATCAAAATTTACGTGGAAAAAATCGGCGTTTACAACGTCAAAATTGAAGTAAGACAAAAAAAATCGGCGTTTACAACGTCAAAATTTACGTAAGAAAAAACAAAAATCGGCGTTTACAACGTCAAAATTTACGTAAGAAAAAAAAATGGGGTTTACAACGTCACCGTCAATGTCAACCAGAACGGTACACGTCAGCCGAAACACAGAGGGGCAATTATAGAGGAAGGTGCCTGAACCAAAATATAGTATATATGTGTATAGGATTCACCCTGCCATAAAATGATCATGAGGCATTTTCGGCACATACTTCCCGTGAGGAATTAAATTACGCCAAGCTTCTTTGAGATGCGCAACATCCCCAGCTTTTTCGCCAGAGATGAGCAGCAGTAAAACCACCAGGCCCAGGGAACACAGGGAACATGCCATCAGCGCGGGGCGATGACCGCGCCAAGGGACGCTGTCGCGCATCGTCATGGAAGGCGACTCGGCCAGCAGTGACGTCTGTTCCACTTCACCTGAAGACCATGATCAGATCTGGGTAGTGGTAGAATAATATAATAATGATAAACATTGATAAACCCAGGACCTGAGTTTTTTTCATGGGGCTGTGCACTATGTAAAATAAACATGAGATTTCCACTTTGGTCAGTTGCAAGATGTTAACATGCCACAACAGGAGGTACCAAGCTGCTAAAATTCCCAATTGGAATGTGGTATGTGGTATAGGTTGAAGGGTGACCATCTGACCGAGCTTACACACGCTAGAACCTCCAAGTTAAAACTCTATGAAGGCATGGAAGGAACACGCAAAACGATATCAAAAATGATCAAAACTCCTCATCTTACTGAAACTCCTAGACATTCATACAAAACCCATGGCCCATGGCTTTCATATGTTGCGGCATACAAGGCTTCTGCATGAAATGCGGGTGTATTTTCAAAATTTGAAATTCCAATGAAGTATCCGGAAATCAGCGGCAAAAAAAGTGTCAAACTCCCGCAAATCACCAAAAGTCATACAATCAAATTCTACAAAAGCCATCTGATCACATCCCATCGCAAAACGCATGGCAAATGCAAGGCCACTGAGGTCTTTAAGTGGAAGTTCCTGACACTCTGAACATTTTCTGACAAGTGTGCTGCAGTATATATATATAATGACATACACAATGTACAATATTGTAATAGCAACACATGCAACACTGCAACACCTGCCATGTCCCGCCCTGCTCTCAAAGTTTCGCTGCCAGGGAACTGGGCATGACAGGCTGCTCGGCCGAAATAACCATGGCCATGGCAAGGGCAATCAAGTCTATGGAGACTAAGATGGGCCCAATAACAACCACCCATATAAACAACACACATGGGCTTGATATGATCTGATTGGGATTGATTTCTCCGACCCGACCCACATCAGGAATATATGACTAACAGTAAAAACCGACTTCAATTATCAGTGAAAATAGATAACAGCAAGTAGTGGGATTGACGGGTCTTGATTCCCAATGTTGTGGACGCCATGGAGGGGTAGCTACCGTTGGGGGAAACCCACCAGCAAAGCTGGATGATTTTCACGTCCGAGATCATCACGCGAATGTCGCATCAACAAAAAACTGGGGCATAGAAACCCCCCATGAGCGCAGGATGAGCGCAGGTTTGTCTCCTACCTAAACATGGCCCGGCTGAGAGAGCCAAAGAGTCGTATGCGGGGCTGCAAGCTCTTCTGGACCAGGGATGACTTGGGCCACCGGTCGGGATCATAGGTTAATTGTCTGCGCGGGAAGCAATCAGATCAGCAATATGTTTGGTATGATAATGTATTATAGGAAATTATAGGAAATTAATGGAAATTATAGGAACATACCACAGGATGCCTCAAAAACAGTCTAAAGGACAAACACTTGAAGCTTAAACTATGACAACTATAATAAACCGAATGGTTCTGGGGGGCATAGCACGTCTCCAGCCGGGAGCTCCAATGCTTGACCAAGGGCCTCGCCAGTCACCAGCCCGCACTTCCGCACCAGTCCTGGAGCAAGAGATCCCTCACTGGAACACAGGAAAACAGTGGATTAAACATGATGCGACTCAGAATAAATGTTATATATAATATATATGTTGCATATAATTCAATATAATTTATGTAACTTAATATAATTTATAACTTATAACAATGAAAGGGAGCAAAGACAGGTTTGGAGAATGTTTTTTTTACCAAAAAAGTTTGCCACTCAAACCGTATAAAATCCAGATTAAATTCTGGGGGCATTCCGGCTCCCCAAACATGATGGGGAAGAGTTTGAGTTGTTTGTTTGTTTGTTTGTTTCTCAGCATTGTTTAGTTGTATTGTATCTTACTATTTATGTCAAATTGTAATTGATCATGTTTCTCAGTTTTGCTCACCCTTGTTCATTGTATTCAATGGCTTTGTTGGTGGACTTCTGGCACAAATGGCTTGGGATGGCTTGGGCGAAACGTAAGTCAATCGAGTACATATGCAAAAGGGGTCGTAGAATCTGGTCGTTCAAACCTTGATGGATCCCTATATCTGGTATATGTTCCTTATCTTCAGCGCTTGTGCCCACAACTGGGAAGCTGCGCTCCTTTAGGATCATCACCCCAGGTACAAAAGGGTACGCTGGGTTTATGGATAATCTTTGCCGGGGTTATAGTGATGACAGCTTTATAAACCTTTCAAAAAGAACCATCGAACCCAACATGATCCAACAATGGAGGTTCCAGGTTGCCAACGCCTCGTCAATCACAGCAGAGCGCGCCTAAGGCACCATGCTTGGGACCATGCTAGCCCTGGATCAATAAATGCCCAGTTAAATTTTACGAATATAAATGCCATTTAGAAACTTGGAATTATCGCTATTTGTGGGACCTCACACCTTAGTAAAAAATGTACTAATCATTGGCGAATATTTTTCACACCAAATCAAAACGGAAAAGAAGAATGATGAGAGCCTGGATCTCAAAAATGCATCTCTAGCCACAGTGATGGAACATGATTTTCTGTGACCTACTGAGGTTCAACGGTTTGGCTGACATGTTGTGATGCAAAAGGAACGCGCAGCAGAGGTACAGTATATAATTGGATCATATTAATATTGGATCCTGATTCATGCACGGGAGGTTGCGAGTAAATTTTGGTCCTGGTCTTTCAAATGGACGCCCTCACATGTTACCATTGGACAAAGGTTAGAAGATACCAGAAAACCCTACTATCTCCAAACAGTCCAAAAGGACAATGATATTAATGATTATTTATGTCCCCATCCTACCTGACTTTGTTGCCAGATCTCAACCCCTTCTTTGACTGGTACTGCTGTTGTCACCCTCACATGCCCATCAGCCAGAATCGCGCAATTTCCCAATATTTTTCAAGCCCATTCACAGGCGCAGGTGATTCTGGTGAAAAGATGTTAAAGTCTATACAAAGAACTTGCACAGCCACTGAAATCATCTGAACACGCTGCTTCTGAGCCACCAAAATTTTTCAGAGACCAGTCACAGCTGGGACGTGGATAACTTCGATCCGAGGCCAGCAGCCTGAATTATTTCATAACATCTATTCCCCTAGACAGATCCAACCCATCCACAACCACCGGTGTTTGCACTGCAGGCGCTCCGACAGGCGCCTTGGGTCCGACTGCAGGCACCTTGGGTCCGACTGGCGCGGGCAACAGCGCGCTGGTATCCAAACCCACTGCCTTAGGCGCTTCGAAGGACCTTGGCAGCTCAGCGCTGGTGGGGTTCTTGCTGCGTGGATTCGGATTGGCAGTCCATTGCACAACCTGCGCACCAGGGGTACTCCCATTGGAATCTTCCCCGAAAGGATCGATGTCTCTGTACAGTGCTCACTCGTGACTGTTGGTAAAATATCCGCTTTAGTAGCTGTTGCACCCATGCGTGTGTGTGTGTGGATCAAAATCAGGTACACCAAAATGGGATGGTTTACTGGTTTACTAATTGTAGTACCTCTGCGGTCCCCTTGGTCTTGGTCGACAGGTGATATCTTGACCTTCACTGTAAAAATCATTCATGTTTCTTACTCCTCCTTAGGTTCTCTCAGGGCTATCCGCCCACTTTTCCGTGCTCACCATCTCCCACGGTCACGCACTGCCTTCTTTGGATGCGCTTGCCACTAAGCACCTTCCTTAAATTATCCTTCTTGTGCAACCATGTTATATCCAGTGGCAAAATTCCGCAGGAATAAGAGGCTTAAGATTTAAGAGCACCAAGGTTCTCAATTCATGCACTTCCTGGGTGTTGTCACATGTGAGACTTACCAACCCATGAACACCCACATGATGCGCAATGAGGCCCAACTCACCCAAAAAGAAAGGATCCAAGTGGATCAAGTAATGCCCAGCACAAAGTTTCTGTCTTCCCCTGCTATATTAGCTAATGGACCCAACTCGTCCAACCCCATTCTGGTTGAATGAGGAGTCCATGGACTTTGAGACGGAGAAAACAACACACACACACATGTAGCTTATATGGGTGTGGGTCCAATTGTGTATTCCAAATAGTTGGGTGTGTATATATATATACACATAATACCAAAAATACAGCATGTTTAAACATATTAAAAATAAAAATGACACATAAAAATAAACTAAGTCAGGCCATTGTGTAACCAGGACATACCAGGACCATCTCCGGCCCTGCCTGGACCTCCTGATCGCTCACTTCCTTCAGCTCCTCATTGATCACCCGCGCCGCGTTTCCGGGGGAGGTCCCCGCCAGGAGCTCACAGGCCTCCAAGCTTTGCTGCTCGCCTACCGGCGTCTGGTTTTTAACGGGATGCCAAGGGAAAGCCATTGGTATGTCATTTTGCTCCCCAAACAATGTACCCTCTGGTAAACTAACATAGCTATGGAAAATCACCATTTTTAATGGGAAAACTCACTATAAATGGTGATTTTCCATAGCTATGTTAAATTACCGGAGGGTATATAGCGTAGCTATAGAGAACTGGTGAAAACAAGTGTCTCAGTGTATTGACTCTCAGGAACTTGCATAAGATCAAGGATTGCAGGTCGGGTCTGATCAGGGTTGGAGTCGCGCGCTGCTGGGCACGGGTTTCACGTGGGTCAGCTTGCACGAGATATGTTTGAGATTTTGACAGCGCAAGCACGCACAAGGTCAACGTAACGGCTTGGTCTCATTCGAAAACGCTCTTTCACTAGCAATTCCTAACGGTTTTGGAGCATTTTGGAGCTATTAGTCCCCTTTGTGTGGCAGGCGGCTTGCGCGGAAGGTATTTTCTATGCGGCACACTTGACGTTAACAGTTCGCGGCCTGCGTGACCCAGTCATCAACCTCCAATGCGAGTTTTGACCACACACGCTCCTGATTCTATGAGCATTTCCCAGAGCAATGGTTTTACTAATATCTAGAACTATCTAGATTTATAGAAATGTATTATAATATCTGTGTGTGTGTATGTATATGTATATATATATATACCACCCAAATCCCCAAGGCCACAAAAGTGTTGCTTCCCAATCTCTCAACCTGCATCTGGGGACCTCGGCCCACGAGTTTCGGTCACAATGTTTGGTCAAAACCTTCATCTTTAGGTTCAACTACTGTAAAGGTTGTACTGTTTTACCCATTGTGTCACAACATCATTGTTTTCTTTTTACATCTTTTTATCATTTTTTACCACCCAGCCTGCCTTCAATTTCGATCTCGAAGCACAACTTCACTGCCTCTCCCAGCCGTCGCAGCTTGCTGTTCAACTGCGCCAGCGCATCGCCCGCGCAGGCCCAATTCAGAGTCACGGCGGCTTCGGCGATGGCTAAGCCGGCCAAGCGGATGAAGGCCTTCTTCAAGCCTTGCCTGGGAGATTGGCAGTGTGGTCAACCTAAAATTTCATTATTGATAATGATTATTTAATACCTACTAAAATCTTCAAACCGCGATCCATTTCAAACGATTCAGACTCCGGGGATTGGTGTTTGAGGGCATTTTTATTGCGAAACTCATGGTCTGCTACAATCAAATATAGAACATGTCCTGTAAATATTCCGTTCCAAGAAATCTCGGAAGCTCCACGATGTTTATTGTTCAGGTATGATTTGTTGAAGAAAAATCCGGCACAAACCGCAACTTTTCCACCTGCGGGAACATGTCTGTGGTTTCCTCTGCCAAACATTAAACATTTCCCTGGGAATCCCTGGGCCCGAACTGTGAAGAACTTCATGGCTTTAAATTTTAAATGCAGGGGAAAAGAATGGAAAAGACATCTTCGCCCATTCTTGTCGGTTTCTGTACTTCATGCTCAGGGCAAACATGGGGTAAGCATACCGTACCATACCCCTTCAACATCCAGGAAAACGGCCAAAACATCAGTAACTTTTATATTTTATAGATGTATGGGGCTAACTGCAGATTCCATAATTAATCATCGAAACCTTGCAAAAGTATGCACAAATGTCCACGGTTCTTTTCAGATTGCAAGAGCAATACTAAAGCAAGAAGTTGACCCACCATGTCAACTACAACTATCGTTAGTTGCTCAACCTCTCTCCATCGCCACTTTCTTGATATGTCTCGCCATTCAATTCGGGTGAAAACAACATCTCACACGGCATCTCCTCTCCCGGACTTAAAACCCACCTCATATCACCTCATGTCTGGTCATTTCCAGTGATCCAAAACCAAAAAAATGATTCAATCTGAAATCCATCCAACATGGTTTTTCTCAATGCTGTTTATGGCTGTTTACCATGAATCATCATGAATCTCACCCACTTTCGGATGTTCTCCATCGTCCCAGCGGCTGCACGTTGCGGTTGTTGATGAACTCCTCCGCGTTGGCCACGGTGAACTGCACCAGCCCCACGGCCGCGAAGACGCCGCTGAGCGCCGCCGACACGCCCAGACCCACGCCCAAACCAACGCCCACGGCCACGCCAAGGCTGACACCTAGCGATTTCCAAATGTAAAGAGCGTATGGGTAGTGTTTAATGTTTCCATGGCTATAATACTATATATTAAAGTACTTAACTGTAAAGTTAAGGCTCTTTTTTATTAAGTGAAATAATGTTATAAGTACTAATGTTTTTTTGAATGCTAAGGATGTTTTTTTGGGTGTTTTTTTCCTTGAAAGTTTGACCTTTCCCATTCCCGGGGCACATCAACAGCAAACATCTCTGACAGCAATCGTTGCACCCGCCTACAGCCACTCCAATGTTGGTCTGCGCCGGCACGGGCACTGATCCCAAGGGCACAACGGGGATGCATGTGCCACAGCCAAAGGCCTCCTGTCCAGATGCTCACCACAGTTGGTCAGTTCATGGTTACGAACCCATCAATACGGTTGATCAATACATGATGGTTCTTGTCCGATGATGATGGCATATCAAGAATATATCAAGTCTCAAAAGGGATTGGTGCAAGAGAAGTGTGCATGACTAATTTAGGCATACTTCAGGATAAAAACTGAGCATTGTTGCCTCAGGATCTACAAGATAGGAACCCCAGCCGCAATCGGATTCCAAGGAAACATGGTTTCAATATGATTTAACAAAGATAAGGAAGACCATGGAAGACCCTTCAGCCAAATCCAGGTCTTATTCTTGTTCTCTCATGTCATCAGCCATGTATGGCTATGGCCTTCACCAGGCTTGGTGGCACTGGCACTCCCTTCGCATCCCCCCATCCTCGTCTTCGCAGCCGGGGCAATCACAAACGCGATTGTTGACGCCGGATTGAGGGATGAAGCATTCCTGAGTGGTCGTTGTGTCCGTTGTGTCAGTTGTGTCATCCTCCTGAAAAATGATGAAAAATATCTAAGTTTTTCGTGGAACCATCTTTTTTGGCCACAATCATCCTTCGGACATCCATGAGCAGCCAAATAAATGGTAGCATCTTACACTTTCGCTTGAATACAAAAAATCATGCACCATTTTGCCAGGTGATTTACTCATAATAATTACCCATATTTATCCATAATTACAGTATTTGGCAATTTTTGAAACTGATCAAAGAAACGGTCCCCGGGCAATCAAACCTCTGGAGGGGTTTGAATGAATCGGCGAAGTCCGCTTGCAGTCGCCGCGACGTTTTGTCACCTGGTGCTGTGTGTTTCCATAAATGGGGGAATCCCAGAAAAATAGCTGGATGGTTTAAAAAAAAGGAAAATTGGGCTACCCCCATGACTTAGGAAACCTCTTACTCCTCTTAATATCAGCATTTAAATTGAAACCCCAAATTCACTTGGCCGCCTGGGACGGTGCCACGTTTGGTCAATAAACCCAGCAACGACGTGTTTTGTTTTGTGTGTGCCTGTTGAGCAAATCAAAATCATCCGATAAGACCACGAAGTCATATCTAATGTTATATGGCATCCATCCAAAAATACATGATTGTCATGATATTACATATCTAAATTTATATAATCATAACACCATCACCAACCAGACATAAATGTCTTTTCACTTACTTGTTTGAAGAACATCATTAATCATCATTAAACCCTTGATAAAGCACAGTATCTCAAAAAAAAATGGCCCAAAACAATGTTCAACCAAATATACTGTCGAATGGGAAGTAATCAAAAATTACCAATATCATTTATCACCTGACGAGAAAAAAAAACATACACCGAATCTCCATTGTGGTACCGCCCTGCGATGGTGAGCCGCCTGAAGGCAAAGTGCGGGGTAGATATAGAGGCTTCAGCCCCAGTTCCAACCTCTCAGGTTGTGGGGCCATGGCTTTCTTGAGCGCAAGAAGCCTCCAAAGGCGATATGCATGCGATATGCCGAGGTGATGGTTTATTTCAAAGGGGAAAAAATGTGAATTTGGGAAAAATATGTTTTCCAATTCGTATTTTTTTGGTTATTGTTGAAAAGAAACAACATCCATCAGAAGGGGAAAAAAATGCAGCCAACCAGCACAAACCAATCCGATAGTAGGTTTACCTTTTTTTACCAATAGCAAGGCATACCAGGAACCATCAAACGGCCAGCAATAAAAGAGCAACCAGCTACCAGTTTCAGCGCCTCACTTCCTCCTTGGCTCCTTCACTGAAGCCTGTGGTTACACAATTTTCCTGACCGAGCCGCCCCAAGATTTTCATGGAAATAGGGGATCACCATCCAAACCATGGGATAACATGGCATAACATGGGATAACTGGGATGAATTGTTTTTTTCCAGTTAAAATATCACCATGGGATAACATGGGATAATCATGGGATATCAACTATGGGATAAAATGTCACTTAAAATAGAAAAGGCTGGTAGAACAGTAGAACCACCGAGTTTCCAGCACTTTTTGAACCTCGCGTTCTGCCAGCGCCGAATGCACCAAACCATAGGCCTCCGACTTTTTTTCCATCCCGATGGACGTGGCAAGTGCATCCATTTCGGCCTGCCCCGTGTAGTGCAACGGCGAGTACCATGAGTGCAACGTAGTGGATAGACGGATGGATCTATCAATCGATTTAAATTCGATAAATATATAGAAAAAAAAGGAAATCGATAGATCACTAGATAGATACACATGTCACATGAACGAAAAGACATATAGGACAGGATGGGACAGGACAGGACAGGACAGGAGAGGAAAGGTAGAGAAACAAACAGATCGGTGGACCGCTGGATCGACGGATAAAATATAGTAGATCAAATCAGATTAGATTAGATGATAGATGATAGGTGGATAGCCACATCTTAGGTAGATAGATAGAGTCGATTATATATATGTTATATTATTATATGTTATTTTATTGTACGATACGAATTAAAAGATTAGATTCAGTAGTAGTGAAATTGGCTCAAGAAAAGCTTAGACTGGATTGATTACATAATTTATGTTTGGTTGATTTGATTAGATCGGATTGGATAGATGGGTAAATCGATAAACAAATAGATTGATAAACATATATTTATAAACATTGAAGAAGAAAGAACACATATCTAGGTAGATTCATAAGGAAATAAATGCATATAGGTAGATACATAAAAAGATTGGTAGATATGTAGATGTGTATATGGCTGGAGGGAAAGAATAGATGCAAAAAGGTAGATAGATATAATATATAATGTGTATTTCGAAATGGATCGGCAAATATAGATCAAAATATAAAGATAAATAAACATGGAGATAAAGAAATATAAGAGGTAAATAAATGGATGCACACATAGATGGGTATAAAGAAAGAACCCTTTTCCTTTCGGAGGCAGCATCAGTATCAACCCATCAATTCGGCCCCGGGTTTGGAATCCGACCATATCCACCCCTAATCAGGCCATCAGTGTACCAACATGTTCACAATCAACGCCTGCGAATTTGGGACATCATTCTTGTTATTTATATGCATCTATCATACAAATTAGAAACTTGCACACAAAGCTATAAATGTGTATATATATATATATACAAATACAATGTATATGTATAAAAGCTATATTATATACAAATTATATTACAAATGTGTGAAATGGTTAATCCCATCCTTGATGGCATATCTCTACTACTCATACATTGCCCATCATACACTGATCGTTTGGTCAATGGCTTGTATACCGTATACCATGATATACCACCCTAAATCTCTGTAAACTTGCTGAGCCTTTATTTGCCCATATCGTGGTTTCTTCAAATGACGAATCCCCAAAACCATCAAAACCATGGGTTTCAATACTAAAATGGTCTATAATTCTGGGATTTTTGCGTGATTCGGGGGTAACCACCATTTTAGGAAGCCACAATATGTATATTGAGTGAACAAACCGCCCTGCCTGCAAGGCTGGCCCAGTATACCCGTCTGCAGTGGCCGACTCCATGGTTTTCCTGACTTCATCATCTGCCAGCGCCCGGCTCACAAGGTCATCTATCGCCAGCTCCAACCTAAGCATTCCAAGTTTATGGATGAAAAGTGGTGAAACTTGACAACAGACAATGCGAAAATGAAAATGGATGGAACCTTTAAACATCTTTAAACAAAAGCTTATTTGGCAGCTTCGGAAATGAATGACACAATTGAAAAAAAAAACAAAAAAGATTCGCCAGCACTGCGATGCACCGATTGTTTCTTGGCGTCTTGCTGGCCCTTTCCAGCAACTCGTTCGCCATGGATCCATCCAGGCCATCGGGCAATTTCCTGGGAAAAGGATCCTCAAAGTCAAAGGGACGAAAGAAACAATAGAATTTGCCCCGCAACGAATCGTCCAGCAGACCCTTCCCTTGCACCACCACATCCAAGGGCTCAAAGCCACAGCCCTGTTCGTTGAACTCGGAAACTTCAAGTGGTGCGGCAGGGCATTGACAAGTAGCGCAGGACCAGTCCGCTTCATCTTCACCTCAGAGAAAATCACCATTAGTTGGGCCTTCCATCTTTAAGCCCACACGACCCCCCCCACCTTACAACACGCCTATTTCGCTTCTGTGCTACACCTTGCACCAGAACAGATTTTTGGGATACTCAGGGCGTCCCCCAATCTGTCTGTGTGGGACTCACTCAGTTTCAAGCGGACTTGGCTGCACGCGCGGTCTTCAAACCTCGACCTGTGATGCATTCTGTAACCAAAGCATCGGAAGTGATCTTGCCAAGCAGGTTTGTATATATTGCCATCCCAGCACTATCAAATAATGCTTTAACACCACGCCATGCCACAGTTGACACAATCGCACACGCTGTTGTTCAGGATCTGCACGTGCTTGCCACAATAAACGCCCGGACAGAAGTAGACACATTCAATCGGGAACTCAGTGCGTCGGGTCAGATGGGAACACCGGAACATGGAGATTGTTGGATCTTCTTTGGATTAATAATTGAGATTAATCCAACATTATCAACATTAACCCAGATTACCATGATTGTTGGATTTTCTTTTGGGCTGACTTGTTGAGCCCTTCCATGGGAATACATTTGCTGAGCCATATCCAATTGTCAAGGTCATCACAAGTCTGCGCATTTAGGGGCATCGTTAAGTATGAAACGCTCAGTAAGGGCTGGGGATTTCTGAAGAGCTAGGTGCCCACATGTTTGAACCAGGGGATTTCTGAACAAGTCGCGGGCATTTTTGAAGATCACATTGTCCACATCGTTTGAAAAAGGGCACTTTGGCCTCATCACTTTAATGACACCTCTGCGACCCAGACCCAACAATGAACACATCCACCACGAGAAGAAACTGCCAGCAGAGTACAGCAAGACAGTGGCTTTGAAACTATATATTCCTTGTTATCATATTTTCGTAGATCATTCTTTTACATTTTTGCCAATGATTCCCTTCCAGGATTTTGTTCTTCAATGGCAAGGCACCTCTTCAACGAAGGAAAAGAGCAGCGGATCTCCCATGCATTTCCCCGCGCAGCTGGTCGATTCCCCGCAGCTGCTGGGGCATTTGCAGATCCTCGAGTTCACCCCCCCGGGACTGCAGAAGATGGAGGAGCTGCAAACGCCATCTTCACAGATTTCAATGTTCTCATCTCTGCCTTGGTCACTTAGTTAATTGTGAAGAGTCGGGAAGTGAAGAGGTTGAATGGATAATCTTGGAAAGTTCCTAATGATGGATAATAATACGGATGATAATATGGATAATAATAATAATAATAATGGAGAATAATATAATGGATAAAATGTGCCACTAAGTTTCCATGACTTAGAAGTTTTTCATCTTAAATCCAAACTTCAACAAACACTGCAAGAGGTGCTGTTTCCACTCGCAGGTGCGCGTCCCTGGGGGCAACCCTTTTTCGGACGTATGCAACGCCCTAAGTTCCTATGTTTCTGAAACACACCCCATCTTAACTTAAGTACTGAGTTGGGGGTGTAAAGATGCGCTAACTTGGGGTACCTTTTTCCACATAAGTGAGGGAGGATCATTGGACATTTCACCATGCTGGACAAGAACACGGTGGAAAATAAGGCGGAGTAGGAGAAAAAAAATGGATTAACCCCCGACATTAAAAAACGCCACAGCTACATGAGGGGCAGTCACAGTTGTTGTCATTCAGCGCCGTGTAGTTTATGGCACATCCGAGCTTCATGGCGGGTGAGCCGGGATGTGCAGGATAGCCAGGGCATTGAACGGGAAAATTCAAGTTGAACTGCTGCCCAAAGCAGTTGACTGCCCTCTGATAATTGGGGAATCTTTCGCCGTTTATTTCGGGAGCAACAAAGTTTCCGTTGCCTCCGGGGCAAACCTCCGGGCAGCCGGATGAGCAATTGCTGCAGTCCCAAGCCTCTTCGTCTGAGCAGTCGTCACAATCACAGAAGTTGTCGTTCAAGAAAGTGGGTGCAATAATGCATTGGGAAGCATCCGGGCGTTGAGGGCACCTGAAGGTCCGATACTCACATGGATACAAGAACTGTTGGTGGCAAGTCTGGTTCGTTGGGCACCCAGAAGCGCAAGTGTCGCAGGTAAAATTGTTTTCATCTGCGCAGGTTGGACAATCACAGTTCCCATCGTTGAGGCGGTAGATACTGATAGTGCAATTGCTGAGTGGGCAAGCAAAGTAGACGTCAAAACCTGGCTGTTGACGCGCATCCGGCTAAACCAAAATTTGAACTTGAGAAAGGGAACACGAAAGGTACAGCAGGCCATGGAAAGAGGAAGAGGTTGGTCATACTTCGGTGATGTTCCGGATCATCATCCCATGTTTAATCATGGAAATATCTGAGCAAACAAAAAAACATAGATGACACCACCAAACAAGTGTCGATCGTATCCCCGGTGTTTCCTGGCTATATCCCCAGCTGCAATTGCAGCAAACATGGCCAGTCTGGACGGTCTTGACGCCCTGCCCCTGGAAAAATGTGCGGTTAGCTGGTTGGCTAGTCTACATGTGCAAGTAAAATCAAAATATATCAAAATTGACCCATTACCCATCAATCAAACGTTGACCTTTGGCAAAAAAAATGACTAAGAACACACGCAAAAACAATTGCGATTCCTGATGCCGCAAACATCTGGACACACGCACGTGTCACAGTCCCAGTTTTCCTCATCAGCACATGTTCCTGGACAGTCGCAGACGTTGTCGTTCACAAATCCTCGGAGGTCACGTGGACCATGCTGCAACTTTGTATGCCAGTTTTTTTGCTCTTTTTTGCGCAATTACTTTACTTCGTGTGATCCCCACCATGACATTTATACATTTTCTTACTGACAAATCTTCTGGCATTCTATCTGACATATCTTCTGACATTCTATTTGACATTCTATCTGGCATATCTTCTGGCATATGATCTGGCATATGATCTGGCATATCTTCTGGCATTCTATCTGGCAAATCTTCTGGCATTCTATCTGGCATATCTTCTGGCACTCTATCTGACATATCTTCTGGCATTCTATCTGGCATATCTTTTGGCATATATTCTGACATATCTTCTGGCATTCTATCTGACATATCTTCTGGCATATATTCTGACATATCTTCTGGCATATCTTCTGGCATATCTTCTGGCATATCTATCTGGCATATCTTCTGACATATCTATCTGGCATATCTTCTGGCATATTTTCTGGCATTCTATCTGGCAAATCTTCTGGCATTCTATCTGGCATATCTTCTGGCATATTATCTGGCATTCTATCTGGCATATCTTCTGGCATATCTTCTGGCATATCTTCTGACATTCTTTCTGACATTCTTTCTAACTTTCTTCTGCACATTCTTTGTCCCATATCTTCCTACATGAGGTCCGGCAGGGAACACTTGGCGTGGATGGTCGTGGTTGAGGTCCGGCAGGGAACACTGGGCGAGGATGGTCGTGGTTGAGGTCCGGCAGGGAACACTGGGCGTGGATGGTCGTGGTTGAGGTCCGGCAGGGAACACTGGGCGAGGATGGTCGTGGTTGAGGTCCGGCAGGGAACATTGGGCGTGGATGGTCGTGGTTGAGGTCCGGCAGGGAACACTGTGGATCGCGGGTCGCAGTTGCAAGGACGACGAGGACGACGAGGACGACGAGGACGAGGAGGAGGAGGAGAGGAGGACGAGGCAGGAGGAGGCGGAGGAGGAGGAGGAGAAGGAGGAGGAGGAGAAGGAGGAGAAGGAGGAGGAGGAGGAGGAGGAGGAGGCAACTGACATAAAATCTAACAACCCTCACCTGGCAGGTGGGGAAACACTCACCCAAAAAACAAGATGCAGCCCACGAACCCGAATGCTCACACGTATGTTAATGGCGCAGATGTCAAAACACATGGATATGCAATCACGCAGAACACTTTTCTGCAATAGTTTATTTGAACAGTCTTGTACATATTTCCCCTGTTACCAGTCTGCAGTGTGGAGTGTGGAGTGTAGCGTGTGGAGTGTAAAGTGTAGAGTGTGGAGTGTAAAGTGTGGAGTGTGGAGTGTAAAGTGTAGAGTGCGGGGAGTTTGGGGTGGAAAGTGTAGAGTGTGGAGTGTGGAGTGTGGAGTGTGGAGTGTAAAGTGAGGAGTGCGGAGTGTAAAGTGTGGAGTGTGGAGTGAGGAGTGTAAATTGTAGAGTGTGGGGTGTGGAGCGTAGAGTGTAAAGTGTAGGGTGTAAAGTGTAGAGTGTGGAGTGTAAAGTGTAGAGTGTAGAGTGTAAAGTGTGGAGTGTGGAGTGTAAAGTGTAGAGTGTGGAGTGTGGGGTGGAAAGTGTAGAGAGTGGAGTGTGGAGTGTAAAGTGAGGAGTGCGGAGTGTAAAGTGTGGAGTGTGGAGTGTAAAGTGTAGAGTGTGGAGTGTGGAGTGTAAAGTGTGGAGTGTAAATTGTAGAGTGTGGAGTGTGGGGTGGAAAGTGTAGTGTGGAGTGTGGGGTGTGGAGTGTAAAGTGAGGAGTGAGGAGTGCGGAGTGTAAAGTGTGGAGTGTGTGCGGAGTGTAAGTGTGGAGTGCGGAGTGTAAAGTGTAGAGTGTGGAGTGTGGAGTGTAAAGTGAGGAGTGTGGAGTGTGGAGTGTAAAGTGTAGAGTGTGGAGTGTGGGGTGGAAAGTGTAAGTGTAGTGTGGAGTGTGGAGTGTAAAGTCAGGAGTGCGGAGTGTAAAGTGTAAAGCGTGGAGTGTAAAGTGTGGAGTGCGGAGTGTAAAGTGTAGAGTGTGGAGTGTGGAGTGTAAAGTGAGGAGTGTGGAGTGTGGAGTGGAAAGTGTGGAGTGAGGAGTCTGGAGTGTGTAAAGTGTAAAGTGTGGAATGTAGGGTGTAAAGTGTAGAGTGTAAAGTGTAGAGTGTGGAGTGTGGAGTGTAAAGTGTGGAGTGTGGAGTGTATAGTGTAGTGTGGAGTGTGGAGTCAGGAGTCTAAAGTGTAAATTGTGGAGTGTGGAATGTGGAGTGTAAAGTGTGGAGTGTGGAATGTGGAGTGTAAAGTGTGGAGTGTGGAGTGTGGAGTGTGGAGTGGAAGGAGTGCGGAGTGTAAAGTGAGAAGTGTGGAGTGTGGAGTGTAAAGTGAGGAGTGTGGAGTGTAAAGTGAGGAGTGTGGAGTGTAAAGCGTTGTGGAGTGTAAAGCGTTGTGGAGTGAAGAGTGTAAAGTGTAAAGTGTGGAGTGTAAAATGTCAAGTGTGGAGTGTGGAGTGTAAAGTGAGGAGTGTGGAGTGTAAAGTGAGGAGTGTGGAGTGTAAAGTGTAAAGTGTGGAGTGAAGAGTGTAAAGTGTAAAGTCTGGAGTGTAAAATGTCAAGTGTGGAGTGTGGAGTGTAGTGTGTAAAGTGTAGAGTGGGGAGTGTGGAGTGTAAAGTGTGGAGTGTGGAGTGTAAAGTCTCGAGTGAGGAGTGAGGAGTGTAAAGTGCAAACTGTGGAGTGTAAAGTGTAAAGTGTGGAGTCTAAAGTGTAGATTGTGGAGTGTGGAGTGTAAAGTGTAGAGTGTGGAGTGCGGAGCTTCCCCCATAGACACGGCGAAGCCACAGGAAAACCAGAGACTCGAGACGAGACACGTGGGTGCAGGAAAAACGAGCATTTCGTGCGAGACTTCCTCCAATTTTGACATTTTCGACACGTTAGCAAACAGGTTGGAATGTCACAAAGTGCCACGCCTGCCACGCAAAACGACGTGACAACCTGCTTGGAAACCTTCGAAAAGGAGAAGTTTTGCAGCTTCCCCCATAGACACAGCGAAGCCACAGGAAAACCAGAGACTCGAGACGAGACACGTGGGTGCAGGAAAAACGAACATTTCGTGCGAGACTTCCTCCAATTTTGACATTTTCGACACGTTATCAAACAGGTTGGAATGTCACAAAGTGCCACGCCTGCCACGCAAAACGACATGACAACCTGCTTGGAAACCTTCGAAAAGGAGAGGTTTTGCAGCTTCCCCCATAGACACGGCGACGCCACAGGAAAACCAGAGACTCGAGACAAGACACGTAGGAACATCAAAACCAGCATTTCGTGCGAGACTTCCTCCAATTTTCACAGTTGGCAACATGACAAAAGGAGAAGTTTTGCAGCTTCCCCCATAGACACGGCGAGGCCACCGGAAAACCAGAGACGCGAGACGCGACACGTGGGAGCGCCAAAACGAGCATTTCGTGCGAGACTTCCTCCAATTTTCACACTTTGTAGCTTCAAAATCGACGTTTTCCTACGAGTTTTCCTTAGAACGTGAAAATTGGCAACCTCAAAATCGATGTTTCGTGCGAGGCTTCCGTCAATTTTCAACGCATCGCACAAAATGCCACGCCTGCCACGGAATTTGCACCTTGTCGCCACTTGACGCAGCCCTGCCAATGCGATTTGCAAAAAACACGCAACATGACACGTCTAAAGTGCTGCGCCTGCCACGAAAAATGACGATGGACACGTCCAAAGTGCTGCGCCTGCCACGAAAACTGCAACACATCTTCTGAAAACGTCGCAAAAGTATTGTGCCTGCCACGCAAAACGACTTTCGACACGTTCCAGAACACGTGTGAATGTCACGAAGTGCCACGCCTGCCACGCGAAACGAAGCAACCAGACGTCTGAAACCTCCAAAAAGGACCACCTCTGTAAAACTTCCCACGGGCACGGCCATACGGTCCTCACGCGAACGGTTGCGGACGGTTGCGAACGGTTGCGAACGGTTGCGAACGGTTGCGACCACAAACGCAACGTCGAGCGAACACACCCTCAACCCCCAGACCCCCAGAGTGAAACAGGAACCCTTGCTACGCATTCGGGAATAACGCAGTTTCTACCCAATCCAGGAACCGAGTGGTAAGGAGCACTTGCCAGGAGGTGGACATTGGAAGCGAGGCAGTTGCGCAGCGGCTTGCGCCCATGTGCAGAGAATGGCATCAACGCCTGCTTGCGCAATGGCTGGAGTCATACCCAAGGACAAAAGATCAAAGGGTCCCCAAAAGCATCGGTTTGAGATTTCCAGGATGTATGTGTTCAATAATCTGGCCAATCATGTTTGTCGACCTCAAAATGTTCATTGGTTCCACATGTTCCAACGATAATTACGCCGAAAAGGGATGCCAGAAAAACCTTTCACGGTGAAATCGGTGAAATATGGTGAAATATTGAGAATGGTAAAACCTACAATACAACGTGATCATTTTGTCTGGGAATTTCTGCCGTGAATTCGATATCGATTCGCCCCTATTTCTGCAAAAGTGAGTGTACTATATTTACTTCATGTGGTTCTAACCAAACGATATGTGTTTCGACATGTTTCTGACATTCGATCTGGCATATTTTTGTGACATACTACCTGGCACATAATATTCTTCCATTTTTGCATGGCATTCTAATTATCAGGAACCCTATTTGACACATATACTGACATTTTTTATGTGGCATTCATAGAATGCCAGATAGAATGTCAGATAAAATGCCAAATAGAATGTCAGATGAAATGCCAGATCAACTATCACAAAGAATGTCATGGTTAAAAAGAATGGCGCGTAAAATTCTAGAAAACCGGCCAGAATATGTGTCAGATAGAATGTCAGATAGACACCAGATAAAAAGCGATGAAATGACAGAAACATGGGAAATCAATTGTCAAACAAAATGCAGATCACATGCCAGAAAGAACATCAATTGCCAGATTAGAATGCCAAATAACATGACAGATAACATGATATATATATATATACATACACCAAATTGAATGCCACACAGAATCCCAGATCGAATGTCAGACAAAATGCCAAGTCAAACGCCAAACAGAATGCCATCAGATTATGCCAGATTACAATGCCAGATAACATGTCAGAAGATATGACAGATAGAATATCAGAATATATGTCAGATAAAATCCCAGCATATATGGAAGTTTCCTGAAATGATGGTACCCCTAAATTATCCATTTGAACAGGATTTTCCATTATAAAACAACAATTTTTGGATATTGGATACCCCCATTTATGAAAACCCCCATATTTCAAACAGGATGTCAGAATAAATTTTCCCACCTGTCAGCTGAGGCTTGCTCCGAGCTCTCGGCGTTGCGAGAAAAATAAGAAACATGTCGGATAGATCGGAAGGAAATGAATGAGTTTTTTTCATGTGACCTCCACCAATTGACATTCTAATGGCATTCTCATTCTATCGTGCATTTTTTGACATTCTATTTGACATAAATTGTAACATTTTATTTGGCATCCTAGTGTCCGACACAATTCTATTCTGACGTTGCATTTGGCATTCTTTCTGGCATTTGCTCTGATTTTTTGTCTTACATTCGATCTGGGACTCTATCCGACATTCTATCTGATGTTCTATCTGACATGTTCATGCACACGCACATGTACATGCACATAACATGCTTATTATATATAATTTAAATTAATTTTTGTTTAGACATTTTTGCTGGCATTTTGAAATTTTTGCATCTCACGGAAACAAACGCCCTCAGGTGTGGTTTGTGACTTGTCGGATTAAGTGCCAGAAAATATCCAGCGAAAATGCCAGAATATCTGTATAGAATGTCAGAATATGCCAGTGTCACATGAAATGTCAGAATAGAATTATGTCAGAATGTCAGCAAAAAAAGCCATTTAATATCGCTCATGAGTCATATATAGGAGGTCAGGCAGAATGCCGGATAGAATGTCGTATCGTAAACACGTCAGACAGAATTCCATATAAAATATTATAAAATGCCACTTTGAATGTCACAATGTCCCAATGCATGCCAAATAAACCGACAAAATGTCAAAAGATATGCCAGATAGAATGCCAAAGAAAATAAGCAGTTTATCTATATAACGTTCTTTAACATTCAATCTGACTTGCTGGCATATATTCTGACAGTTCTGGCATTTCATTTTGCATTCTATCTGACAACTGCTGTGGCATTCTTTCTGACATGTGACCTGGCATTTTATCAGACATCCTATATATATATGGCATTTTATCTGGCATGCTATCTCGCATTCTATCTGGATTTCTATCTGACATATATCATTTGTCACACACACATATATACATATGTATATATATATGTGTATATATATATGTGTGTGTGTATATATGTATATATATATATGTATATATGTATATATATATATATATGTATATTCGTTTTTTTTGGCATTTTATCCAGCATGATTTTCGGGTCTGGCAGGGAGCTGGTTGCTACAGACTGGCCAACAAGTTGGTAATGACGTGATGGCGAGGAAGGTGGCAAGTGAATCAAGTGAATGACTCATCCATTGGTGGGGGTGTGGGCGTGGCTCTGTGTGCGCGTCTCCAGGATGTCTTGTCAAAATCTAGACCCTCACCTGGCAAGCCGGGCAAAATGGGAAACCGCCGGCCTGGGGGTTGAAGTTCATCCGGGTAATCAGAATAGTAATAGTTGTAGAGTTGTTGGCACGCGGTCGGGCACTGGCAAACATCACCTGGTTGCAGGGCTGATATTTTTGGTGAAATATCACACTTCGATGAAGCCAACCATGATCCTGGAAACCAACATTTGCCATCAGGACAATGGTTGGTACTGGTGCGGGTGGTCTTTTAAACAACCATCATCCCACACATGCAATGCCAACTTTATTTGAATATCACCCCATAGTACTTGGTGGTTTATATGGGCTCTCATAAAATAATGGGGTATGACTGCAACACCTTCTACAAAGTTGTATTTGGGGCATTGCCAAAACATCCTCATCAACGAATGACTAAGTCACAGTTCACCGGATATACCTGGCCCATGTATACCGACCGCCTAAAAAATAGAATATTGTACTCTTAGTCGGGACAAGATAGAATATCAAAAAACACAGGGTCTAGCACCCACAAGATAGAATATTCTGAAATTAAAATAATCACAAGATAGAATATTCTATCTTTCAGACGGTCGGTATAGATAATGATGAAATTTGGGGTGAAATCCCAGTAAATCCCAGTAAAGCTGCGAAAACCTCTTTTTACAAATGAGCTAAGCCAACATGCCAACTCTCTATCTAATATATATATATATACACATATCTTGGAAATCAACACACAAGCCTTTCCACGCAATGGAATGCTTCCAAATATATAATTTGGAGCCATGTCACGCCAGGGTCTCGAAAATATTCTATCTTGTCCGTTTTCGTATTTTTGAGCCTTATCAAAGCTCAAAGAATAACATTAAACAAATGAAAAACAATGAACAATAACGAAAAATAGAAACAAAAACAATGAAAAATGATGGAAAAGAGAGAAAACAACAATGAAAAATGATGAAAAGATTGGAAAAAAAGCAATGAACAATGACGAAAACGAGGGAGAAAAACAATGAAAAATGATGAAACATAGAAAACAAACAATGAACAATGATGAAGCATATGGAAAAAAACAATGAAAAATTATGAAAAATAGAGAAAAACCAATGAACCATGATGAAAAATAGAGAAAAAACAATGAACAATGATGAAAAATAGGGGAAACAAAAACAAGGAAACATGATGAAAAATAGAAAAACATAAGATGAAAAAAAGAGAAACAACAATGAAGAATGATGAAAAAGAGAGAAAAAACAATGAAAAATGATGAAAAAGAGAAAAAACAATGAAACATGATGAAAAATAGAGAAACAACAATGAAACATGATGAAAAATGGAGGGAAAAAACAATGAAAAATGATGAAAAATAAAGAAACACCAATGAACAATAATGAAAAATAGAGAAAAAACAATGATTTTCCATCATTTTTCATTGTTGGCTCTGTATTTTTCATCATTTTTCATTGTTTTTTTCTCTATGTTTCATCATGTTTCATTTGTTTCTATATTTTTCATAATTTCTCATTGTTTTTTCTCTCTTTTTTCATCATTGTTCATTCTCGTTTCTCTATTTTTCATAATGTTTCATTGTTTTTTCTCTATTTTTCATAATTTTTCATTGTTTTTTTCTATTTTTCATTATTTTTCATTGTTGTTTCTCTATTTTTCATTATTGTTCATTGTTTTCCCCTTTCTTTTTCATCATGTTTCATTGTTTTTTCTCTCTTTTTCATAATTTTTCATTTGTGCTTCTCTATTTTTCATCATTTTTCATTGTGTTTTTTCTCTCTTTTTCATCATGTTTCATTGTTTTTCCTCTATTTTTCATCAGTTTTCATTGTTTTGTATCTATTTTTCATCATTTTCATTGTGTTTTCCATATTTTTGATCAGTTGTCATTGCTTTTTTCTTTCTTTTTCATCATTGTTCATTGTTGTTTCTCTATTTTTCATCATGCTTCCTTGTTTTTTTCTCTCTTTTTCATCATGTTTCATTGTTTTTTTCACTCTTTTTCATCATTTATTCTTGTTTTTTTTCTCTCTTGTTCATCATTTTTCATTGTTTTCCCTCTCTTTTTCATCATTTTTCATTGTTGCTTCTCTATTTTTCATCATTTTTCATTGTTTTTTCCTCTCTTTTTCATCATATTTCATTGTTTGTTCCTCTCTTTTTCATCATTTTTCATTGTTGCTTCTCTATTTTTCATCATTTTTCATTGTTTTTTCCTCTCTTTTTCATCATATTTCATTGTTTGTTCCTCTCTTTTTCATCATTTTTCATTGTTTGTTTCTCTCTTTTTCATCATTGTTCATTGTTGTTTCTCTATTTTTCATCATGCTTCCTTGTTTTTTTCTCTCTTTTTCATTGTGTTTCATTGTTTTTCAATGCTTTTCAATTGTTTAATGTTATTCTTTGAGCTTTGATAAGGCTCAAAAATACGAAAACGGACAAGATAGAATATTTTCGAGACCCTGGCGTGACATGGCTCCAAATTATATATTTGGAAGCATTCCATTGCGTGGATTTTTTTCCGTATGTTTCATTGTTTTTGTTGTATTTTTCATATTTTTTTCATTGGTTTTCACTATTTTTCATTATTTTTCATTGTTCTTCATTGTTTTTCAATTGTTTAATGTTATGCTTTGAGCTTTGATAAGGCTCAAAAATATGAAAACGGACAAGATGGAATATTTTCGAGACCCTAGAGTGACATGGCTCCAAATTACTTGGATTTTTTCCATTGTGTGTGGAAATGCTCTTGTTGATTTTCACAATACGTATGTGAATATATATATAGCGGTTGTATAGGTTTTATTGGGTTTAAGTCAGTTGGAGCCATGCCTACCCGCAATTCACAGCTGTTGCCGGTCCACCGCGTGGTCGCACCTCATACCCTCAATTTGCGGTTTTAACGCAAAACGTGGTGGAAACAAGTATGAATATTTGGGGATTTACCTAGCAAAATTGCTGGTTTTATCTGATACGCCAGGAATATGAAAAATACAGCAAAAACAATGAAACATACGGAAAAAAATCCACGCAATTTAATAGAAGGCTTCCAAATATATATATATATAAATTTGGAGCAATTTCACGCCAGGGTCTCGAAATATTCTATCTTGTCCGTTTTAATATTTTTGAGCCTTATCAAAGCTCAAAGAATAAGATTAAACAATTGAAAACCAATGAACAACAATGAAAAATAATGAAAAAAAGTGAAAACCAATTAAAAAAATATGAAAAATACAACAAAAACAATGAAACATACGGGCAAAAATCCACGCAATGGAAGGCTTCCAAATATATAATTTGGAGCCATGTCATGCCAGGGTCTCGAAAATATTCTATCTTGTCCGTTTTCGTATTTTTGAGCCTTATCAAAGCTCAAAAAAAACATTAAACAATTGAAACACAATGAAAAAACAAATTAAAAAAATGAAAAATAAACAATTAAAAATTATGAAACAGATACAACAAAAACAAGGAAAAATGATGAAAAAGAGAGAAAAAAACAATGAAAAATGATGAACAAGAGAGAAAAAAACAAGGAAACATTATGAAAAAGAGAGAATAAACAATGAAACATGATGAAAAAGAGAGAAAAAAACAATGAAAAATGATGAACAAGAGAGAAAAAACAATGAAAACCGATTATATAAAAATATGGAAAAAAAACAATGAAAAATGATGAAACAGAGAAAAAAAACAATGAAAAAATGAAGAAAAAAAGAGAAAAACCACAATGAAAAATGATGAAAAATAGAGAAGCACAAATGAAAAATGATGAACAAGAGAGAAAAAACCATGAAAAATTATGAAAAAGAGAGGAAAAAACAATGAACAATGATGAAAAATAGTGGGAAAATACGGAAACATGATGAAACATAGAGGAAAAAACAATGAACAATGATGAACAAAAGAGAAAAAACAACGAGAAAAAATGATGAAAAAGAGTGAAAAAAACAATGAAACATGATGAAAAAGAGAGAAGAAAACACGAACAAATGATGACAAAGAGTAAAAAAAACAATGAAACATGATGAAAAAGAGAGAAAAAAACAAGGAAACATGATGAAAAATAGAGAAACAACAATGAAAAATGATGAAAAAGAGAGGAAAAACAATGAAACATTATGAAAAATAGAGGAAACAACAATGCAAAATGATCAAAAATAGAGCAACAACAATGAAAAATGATGAACAAGAGGGAAAAAAAAAAAACAATGAAAATTTTGAAAACGAGAGAAAAAAGACAATGAAAAATGATGAAAAAGAGAGGAAAAAACAATGAAAACTAATGAACAATAGAGAAACAACAATGAAAAATGATCAAACAGAGAGAAAAAAAACAATGAAAAAACACGTTCATCATTTTTAATCAGGTTTCATTGTTTTTGGCTCTCTCTTTTTCATCATTTTTCATTGGTTTTTTCTCTTTTTCATCATGTTTCATTGTTTTTTTTCACTTTTTTCAGCAGTGTTTCTTGTTTTTTCCTCTCTTGGTCATCATTTTTCATTGTTTTTTTGCCATTTTTTTCATCATTGTTCAGTGTTTTTTCTCTCTTTTTCATCATGTTTGATTGTTGTTTTCACTCTTTTTCATCAGTTTTTCTTGTTTTTTCTCTCTTGTTCAGCATTTTTTCATTGTTTTTCTATCTTTTTCATCATGTTTCATTGGTTGTTCTCTCGTTTTCATCATTGTTCATTGTTTTCTCTCTGTTTTTCATAATTGTTCATTGTTTTTTCTCTCTTGTTTATCATTTTTCATTGTTTTTTCTCTCTTTTTCATCATGTTTCATTGTTTGTTCTCTCTTTTTCATCATTGTTCATTGTTTTTTCTCTCTTTTTCATCATTGTTCATTGTTTTCTCTCTGTTTCATCATTTTTCATTGTTTTGTCTCTATGTTTCATCATTTTTCATTGTTTTTTTCCATATGTTTAATCGGTTTCATCATTTTTCAGTGTTTGTTCTCTCTTTTTCATCATGTTTCATTGTTTTTTCACTCTTTTTCATCATTTTTCATTGTTGTTTCTCTATTTTTCATAATGTTTCCTTGTTTTTTGTTTATCTCTTTTTCATCATGTTTCATTGTTTTTTTTCACTCTGTTTCATCATTTTTTCTTGTTTTGTTCTCTCTTGTTCATCATTTTTCATTGTTTTTTCCTCTATTTTTCATCATGTTTCCTTGTTTTTTCTGGCATGTTGACTTGGCGTCCTGTTGCTTCAAAAATCATCAGTAGTTTTCTGCACAGGCATGCACGAAATTGACAAGATAGAATATTCAAGGGGTGTTCCCATATTGGAACATGTTGGATTCAGAATTGTTGGAAATCCCACAGCAGAATTTGTTTAACATCATTTCACAGTAGCACCCTGTTGCTTCAAAAATCATCAGTAGTTTCAAAGTTTTCTGCACAGGCATGCACGAAATTGACAAGATAGAATATTCAAGGGGGGGGGTTTCCCATATTGGAACATGTTGGATTCAGACTTGTTGGCAATCCCAAAGCTGAATTTGGTTAACGTCATTTCACAGTAGCAGCTCTGCTTCAAAAATCATCAGTAGTTTCAAACTTTTCTGCGCAGGCATGCACGAAATTGACAAGATAGAATATTCAAGGGGGGGGGTTTCCCATATTGGAACATGTTGGATTCAGAATTGTTGGCAATCCCAAAGCTGAATTTGTTTAACGTCATTTCACCATAGCACCCTGTTGCTTCAAACATCATCATTAGTTTCAAAGGTTTCTGCACAGGCATGCACGAAATTGACAAGATAGAATATTCAAGGGGGTGTTCTGTGACTATTTGTGAATATTCTATATTAATATTCTATCTTGTGGTGTTTTTTTTGAATGGGAGGCCGATGGTAATTTTCTCACTCGCGTGTCTGGTAGTGAAAAATATTCTATCTTTCGGCCGGTCGGTATACTCTTGTTGCCTGGCTTCATCAGCACAAGTCCATGGACAGTCGCAAATCGAATTGTTGACCAGAATATCAGGGATAGTGCAGCCCACCTGGTTGGTCTCCGCCACACAAAACCCAAACAACATGAAAGTAAATGAGAAATGATCCGAAAGCATTTTAGGGTGGGAATACAACCACGAACCGTGAACCAGGTGCTTTTAAGTGATTTTAGGCCTTGTCTCTGATGGAGAGGGAGAAAAAAAAACATTGAGAAACCTCTGGCCAGTTGCATCTAGTGGAGGCACGGCAGGACATTGAAATACTCCGTTCGAAGGGCTGCAAGCCCAACGAGAAGGGACACCGCAAAAAGAAACGCAAGAACCTGAGAAAATCAATGGATGGGTCAAAAGGAAATTCAAGACGAAACTAGTGCTTCTCATCAAATACAGGGGTTCCTGCAGATTTTTTCTTCATCCAATTCTGAATTTGATATGACATTTGTATGAACCATCAATCATTTCAATCTTAGGCGGGAAATGCCGGACAAAAAAATATTCAATCATCAGTGAGTTAGTTTCACCAAAATCTATGCTGAACCATTTTTTCAGACGGAGAGGGATGCTGAATGATCTTGCAAATACAGCGTAAAACCAGCTTGACTTCAACATCTTTGCCGAAAAAAACGCTCCGCAAACGACGATATCATTCAAAATATCTCTGTATGTGTCTTTCTTCCTTTCTTCCTTTATATTTCTCTCTCTCTCTCTCTCTCTCTCTCTCTCGCTCTCTCTCTCTCTCTCTCTCTCTCCCCCTCCCTCCATTGCCTTGATTCAAAATATCTATGAAGTACAGTAGTAGTCTGGATCTTCAAACGTCCATAAACAATTGTTGCTTGCTGCGGTTGTTGCACACTTTTGTGAGTCGACCACAAAAAGTGGTAGTTGACAAAAACCACTGGTTTTTGAATGTTTTTGGAAGAACTGGCATCAACACACACACCAATTTGTCGAATTTGTGATTTTGTTGCCCAGAATTCCTTAATCCAGCAAAAAAACTCTGGACCCTAGTGCTGGTTTTAACAATTCCCTTATAAATTGTTCCATTGCGTTTGGTTTTCGATGGTTTTCGCAGGTTTGTTTCCAAGACAGGTGACGACAGAAAACACCTGAAAAGATGCTGCAAATCCTGAATTTGGGCAAGAAACCCCGACTAATTTTGCGTTCAAAACGCCTACAAAACTTTCAAAACGCTAAAAAACCATCAAACGGTTACAAATCAGGAAAAGTTGGTCAAATGTGTTGTTTCTGATCCTGCCGTGGTCGTGCCGGGTGGTAACTGCTTCTTGATTTTGGATTTGCAGTTCAGACGTTGGACGATAGCTATCAGAGTTAGGCGCGCTAACATGTTTCCAAATCCAAAAGAAAAACAAAAGAACATATCTGACATATATAGGCCTCACCACCATTGCAACCGCATAGCTGGCTGAATCCACACGACCATCTTCTTCTGGAAGCAACCAAATCGCCTACTTTTTTTGAAAACGCCTAGTTTTAGTATGTAGTACAAATCACATCGTCCAAAAAAAATTCTTGTAGAATGAAGGTCCAGGAGTATCTATAGTGGTGATAGATGGTGATAGCAAGTAACTATTGCTCAACAACGTGCTAACTGATTCGGCAAATTCATGTTCGGAAATCCCTGGATTGAAAGGCCAACCATTGAATCTATCTATTTACAGCAGGGGTTGAAACATTGTTGCGAGGAACTTGTATTCAACGGGGTTACCTTGGTTGATGCCCCGATTGAATATGTTTGCTATTTCACGGCCGTTGTGAGACAATACGGCAACTCGTTTCAGGTGCAAACCAACAAAACTGACCACAAATTCACAAAGGCTAATACCGCGGAACAGTTTTCACATGTGTACGATGTCTCGTCCGCGCAGGTGCCAGGGCAGTCGCACACGTTGTTGTCCACCAAGCTCTTGTTGATGGTGCACCCAGGTGTGCCACCGTCGTCCGGACAAATGAAAGGATCCGTGACCACCCCGGGTCCCAAGCAGCGTTGGCTGAAGAACTGGTCCAAAGCTGGGTCACGGCACCGAAGGTCGGGACATGCATCCGGACTCACCGAAAAGGACGAAAACGATGTCAGTCCCACTCCGCACTCCTCACAGCTGTGAAACTCTTCATCAGCGCAGCTTCCTGGACAATCACAGTAATCATCATTCAAATAGCCCCTTGGTATCCAGCAGCTAGTGTTGGGACACTGGAAGTCTGGTGTCCTCGGTACCACCTGCTTATTGGCCAGCCTGGTGGGTTTGCTCAGTGCCAGGACTTCTGGATAAAGGGCTAGAGATCCTGTGGCCTTGTCGTAAGCCAGACCAGCTCCGATTGTTCCGGGGATGGCCAAAGCTTGCGAATCTGCTAGCCACCTGGGCCAGGAACTAGCTGATGTGGCTGGTGGCCCAATTCATTCACGCTTGGGGGTGGTAAAAATGAAAGAAACCCAAACCACCCCCACCACCACCACCACCATCATCACCATCTTTGTCATCATTGTCATCATTATCATCATGATCACCATCACCATCACCATCACCACCACCACCATCACCATCACCGCCACCACCAACACCACCACCATCATCATCATCATCATCAACTTCACCATCAGCATCAGTACCATACTCATTCAATATCTTCAATACAAATAATATAATCAAAGTGTCATCATCAATATCATCAGCGATATCATGATGGGTGTCATCATCACCACCACCATCATCACCATCATCCTCATCGTCATCGTCGTAGGTGAACAATTAAAAGTATCCGGAGCTCATGGCCGGACTGTTGGGATCTGCTGGGATGGTTTCCATGTCATACAGTGGCTTGAAAGTGATGACTGCAAGCCACTTACCCAGTCCTGAAAAGCCCCATCAAGACAGAAAAGTGACCCCGAAACATTCCGCAGCCTAAGTTTTATGATGCTTTATGGCGATTTATACCTTCGCATCTTGCCAAAACCATTCGAAAACAAAAGCATGCATAAAAAACATAACCTTTTACATTTCCAAAATTGACCGCAGCATTCCAAGCTGCTGCAGATCCAGTAGGTTCTGCTTGCTGCGCCGGTCCAAGGCACACTCTACGAATTCACCACAGGTGGCAGGGCAGCCGGGGCCAGGGACCAGGGTCCCTCCCAGCTGAAACTGGACAGGCGTCTCCTGCTTCTGTTGAAGTTCCTGGCCAGCAAGGGCCACTATAGCACCCTGTCGTCATGATAATTGAGCATATAATGGTTAGATGTCCGGATTAAGAAAACGTGTGGACATTATGTGGATATAGCACACGCGCACACACACACATAAATATTTGTAATTAATATAATGTAATATAATATAAAATGCTAAAATATGATATAGTAGAATATAATATAGTATATAATTAAAAACAATATAACATAATATGATAATATGTTATGTTACATTACATTATATTATATTGCATTATGTACTATTATAAAAATAATATATGATATCAAATAATCTTTTTAAAACATAAAAATATATAAAAATAATGAAATATTGTATTGTATCATATTATATAATATTACAGAATATATGGTATACAATATTATACAATATGAAAAATATAACGTTATATGATATTATATGGTATTATATTGTATAATAAAACCTTTTATAATACAATATATATATAAAAAAAACAATATAATAAAATAAAATAAAATAAAATATAACATAATAAAATATAGTATAATAGAATAATATCATAATATTAAAACAATATAATATTAAAACAATATAACATAATAGAATTCAAAACTATAATATAAGATCATAAAATATAATGTAATAAAATATAATAATAATAATGACAACAAATAGTATAATAAAATAAAATATAACATAACAAAATATAATATAATACAATATAATATAACATAACATAACAAAACATAATATAACATAATATAACATAATAATATACTTTGATATAATATAATATAATATAATACAATACAATATATTTTAGTATTTTATGTTATAATATAATACAATATAGTATAATAAAGTACAATATAGTATAATATAATATAATATACTATAATATAATATAATATAATATCATGCATTATATATAATGAAATATAATATATATATGTGTGTGTGTAACCATCAATAATGCATAGGATTCACCCTGCCATAAAATGATCATGAGGCATGAGGCACATACTTCCCGTGAGGAATTAAATTACGCCAAGCTTCTTTGAGATGCGCAACATCCCTAGCTTTTTCGCCAGAGATGACCAGCAGTAAAACCACCAGGCCCAGGGAACACAGGGAACATGCCATCAGCGCGGGGCGATGACCGCGCCAAGGGACGCTGTCGCGCATCGTCATGGAAGGCGACTCGGCCCGCAGCAGTGACATCTGTTCCACCTCACCTGAAGACCATGATCAGATCTGGGTAGTGGTAGAATAATGATAAACCCAGGACCTGAGTTTTTTTTCATGGGGCTGTGCATTATGTAAAACCTGAGAAGGGAGGAACGAAAGCCAGGGGAGTGCGAAGGTGGGCGCGAATAAGAAGGAGAGGAAGAGGGAGGATCGGGAAAGAGAGTAGATCGAGGAGAGGTGGTGCCAGGAATGCACGAGCTTTTGTCTCGCTGCATCGGGCGAAGCGGAAAGGTGCAGAAGTAGGCTGCGAAGGTCCTCAAATGCACCTCCCACAATCCTTACTGTTGCACCGTATAAACGGTTTGCTCGTTTCTTCCATGGTTTTATTTCCGTGCTTCTACCCCATAGTGGTCATACATCGAAACCGCAATTTTTCCATTGCTTTTCCATTGTTTCACGCGTGCTTTACGCGATAATCAATTTCCCTCGTTTTACTTTTATTTTACTTGGCATCATTTTCCAAGCGTTCTACTCAAATTTTCCATTGTTTTCCAACTGTTTTATGTGATATTCCCTCATTTTTTACAATGTTTTTCTCATCATTTTCCCCTCCATTGCAGTCCCCCCAAGTCCAGATCAGAGGACGGACCAGGGGGGAATCGATACCCCACCGTCACCCAATTGCCACCGGGTACATAACCCTGACAAAGTTCACCTCGGTCCGCCTTTTTTACCACCTAATTTCGTGATTTAGTGGCAGTTTGGGGCGCTCTGGCCCCAGACCCCCTAAACTCACTTTGTTCGCAAAAAAAACTTCGCCTAGCCTAGCGGCTGGCTTTCGTGATAAACATGAGATTCCCACTTTGGTCAGTTGCAAGATGTTGACATGCCACAACAGGGGGTACCAAGCTGCTAAAATTCCCAATTAGAATGTGGTATGCGGTATAGGTTGAAGGGTGACCATCTGACCGAGCTTACACACGCTAGAACCTCCAAGTTAAAATTCTATGAAGGCATGGAAGGAACAGTCCCAAGGGCCCAAGGAACAGTCCAAACAAATACACCGGAAAGATTCGTGCAAGACGATGTCAAAAATGATCAAAACTCCTCATCTTACTGAAACTCCTAGATATTCATACAAAACCCATGGCCCATGGCTTTCAAATGTTGCGGCATACAAGGCTTCTGCATGAAATGCGGGTGTATTTTCAAAAATTGAAATTCCAACACGTCAAGAATTATCCGCAAATCAGCGGCAACAAAAGTGTCAAACTCCCGCAAATCATCAAAAGTCATACAATCAAATTCTACAAAAACCACCTGATCACATCCCTGATCGCAAAACGCATGGCAAATGTAAGGCTACTGAGGTCTTTAAGTGGAAGTTCCTGAAACTCTGAACATTTTCTGACAAGGGTGCTGCAGGATATATATGTATATATATATAATGACATACACAATGTACAATATTGTAATAGCAACCTGCCATGTCCCGCCCTGCTCTCGGAGTTTCGCTGCCAGGGAACTGGGCATGACAGGCTGCTCGGCCGAAATAGCCATGGCCATGGCAAAGGCAATCAAGTCTATGGGGACTAAGATGGGCCCAATAACAACCACCCATATAAACAACAAACATGGGCTTGATATGGCTTGATTGGGCTTGATTTCTCCGACCCACATCAGGAATAAATATGACTAACAGTAAAAACCGATTTCAATTATCAATCAGTGAAAATAGATAACAGCAAGTAGTGGGATTGATGGGTCTTGGTTCCCCTGTTGTGGACGCCATGGAGGGGTAGCTGCCCTTGGGGGAAACCCACCAGCAAAGCTGGATGATTTTCACGTCCGAGATCATCACGCGAATGTTGCATCAACAAAAAACTGGGGCATAGAAACCCCCCATGAGCGCAGGATGAGAGCAGGTTTGACTCCTACCTGAAACATGGCCCGGCGGAGAGAGCCAAAGAGTCGTATGCGGGGCTGCAAGCTCTTCTGGACCAGGGATGACTTGGGCCACCGGTCGGGATCATAGGTTAATTGTCTGCGCGGGAAGCGATCAGATCAGCAATATGTTTGGTATGTTAATGTATTTTAGGAAATTATAGGAAATTAATGGAAATTAGAGGAACATACCACAGGATGCCTCAAAAACAGTCTAAAGGACAAACACTTGAAGCTTAAACTATGACAACTATAATAAACCTATTGGTTCTGGGGGCATAGCACGTCTCCAGCCGGGAGCTCCAATGCTTGACCAAGGGCCTCGCCAGTCACCAGCCCGCACTTCCGCACCAGTCCTGGAGCAAGAGATCCCTCACTGGAACACAGGAAAACAGTGGATTAAACATGATGCGACTCAGAATAAATGTTATATAATATATATATATGTTGCATATAATTCAATATACTTTATGTAACTTAATATAACTTATAACATCTTATAACTTATAACAATGAAAGGGAGCAAAGACAGGTTTGGAGAATGTTTTTTTTACCAAAAACGTTTGCCACTCAAACCGTATAAAATCCAGATTAAATTCTGGGGGCATTCCGGCTCCCCAAACATGATGGGGAAGAGTTTGAGTTGTTTGTTTGTTTGTTTCTCAGCTTTGTTTAGTTGTATTGTATCTTACTATTTATGTCAAATTGTAATTGATCATGTTTCTCAGTTTTGCTCATCCTTGTTCATTGTATTCAATGGCTTTGTTGGTGGACTTCTGGCACAAATGGCTTGGGATGGCTTGGCCGTTCAAACCATGATGGATCCGTTCAAATCTGGGTAGGAATGTTCCTTATCTTCAGCGCTTGTGCCCACGGGAAGCTGCGCTCCTTTAGGATCCTTTAGGATCATCACCCCAGGTACAAAAGGGTACGCTGGGTTTATGGATGGCTAGCCTGGTAATCTTTGCTGGGGTTATACACCGGGTCCTTTTACCGTGGAAGTCAGGATGGAAAAACCTGTCGGTTTACATGGAAGTCGTTTACGTCCAATTCCTGGGGAAAAAGTGAAACTGGGCTACCGGGCCAGCAAATGCAGAAAAACTGACCGTGAATCTCTTACATAGAAGTAGCTCATCAGATATGTCAGTAACATATTCATCATGGAAGTGTGAAAACTGAGACTAGACTAAAAACCCTTACGTGGAAGTAACTTGAGGGTCCAGACATCAGGTTGGCAACTTCTATGTTAACATGTTCTCCCCTCATGTTGAATACATCCTTCTAGGGCGATCCCTAAAACCCCCAGACTGACCGCCATATCATTTTTTTTCTTCTTTGCATCTATCTTCTCACCCCTGTCATGTCCGAGCGATTGAGGATGCAACCTTTCGAAATCAATGGTGCCAAATTGGTGCTTATCATGGAAGTGTCAAAACACAACACTGTTTCTTTTTTGGTTGCATCCACCTACTTCAAGTAGCAAATTTCTATGTAAGTTATCCGTTCCAATCGTTGGTTGTTAAAAAATGGAGGCCTTCCCAGCTTTATCTTGAAAAATTCAAAATTTCTACGTTAATCAACAAATGCCCAGGATTCCCGGGGAACTCGCGGCAAAAAGAACTAGCCAAAAAAAAGGGCTCAGATCCAAAGAACACAAATTTGCAGTTTACCCCCCCTCCGAATTGTCACTTTAGTTAACGTGGAAGAATTTATTTTTTTTTTTTTGCACATCATTTGCATCTATCTTCTCACCCCTGTCATGTCCGAGCGATTGAGGATGCAACCTTTCGAAATCAATGGTGCCAAATTGGTGCTTATCATGGAAGTGTCAAAACACAACACTGTTTCTTTTTTGGTTGCATCCACCTACTTCAAGTAGCAAATTTCTATGTAAGTTATCCGTTCCAATCGTTGGTTGTTAAAAAATGGAGGCATTCCCAGCTTTATCTTGAAAAATTCAAAATTTCTACGTTAATCAACAAATGCCCAGGATTCCCGGGGAACTCGTGGCAAAAAGAACTAGCCAAAAAAAAAAGGCTCAGATCCAAAGAACACAAATTTGCAGTTTACCCCCCCCCATTGCAACTAACATGGAAGTAAACCTCCGAATTGTCACTTTAGTTAACGTGGAAGATTTTTTTTTTGCACTACGGTAAAAGGAGGGGGAGTAGTGATGACAGGATTTAACGTTATAACCTTTAAAAAGAACCATTGAATCCAACATGATCCAACAATGGAGGTTCCAGTTTGCCAACGCCTCGTCAGTCCTGACAGCAGAGCGCGCCTAAGGCACCATGCGACCATGCTAGCCCTGGATCAATAAATGCCCAGTTAAAATTTACGAATATAAATCGCTTTTTAAAACTTGGAATTATCGCTATTTGGGGACCTCACACCTTAGCAAAAAATGTGCTATAGTCATTGGCGAATACTTTTCACACCAAACCAAAACGGAAAAGAAGAATGATGAGAGCCTTGATCTCTAGCCACAGTGATGGAACATGATTTTCTGTGACCTACTGAGGTTCAACGGTTTGGCTGACATTTTGTGATACAAAAGGAACGCGCAGCAGAGGTACAGTATATAATTGGATCCTGATTCATGCACGGGAGGTTGCGAGTAAATTTCGGTCCTGGTCTTTCAAATGGACACCCTCACATGTTACCATTGGACAAAAATTAGAAGATACGAGAAAACCCTATCTCCAGATAGTCCAAAAGGACAATTATATTTATGTCCCCATCCTACCTGACTTTGTTGCCAGATCTCAACCCCTTCTTTGACTGGTACTGCTGTCACCCTCGCATGCCCATCAGCCAGAATCGCGCAATTTCCCAATATTTTCCAAGCCCATTCACAGGCGCGGCTGCAGTTGTGAAACGTGTACACTGATCACTTTGACCCGTGCAACTGGAAATGCTGCCAGCATCACATGTTGATCAATTAAAACTAAATTTTATTCCCCTAGACGGATCCATCCCATCCACAACCACCGGTGATTGCACTGCAGGCGGTCCGACAGGCGCTCCGACAGGCGCTCCGACTACAGGCGCCTTGGGTCCGACTGGCGCGGGCAACAGCGCGCCGGCATCCAAACCCACTGCCTTAGGCACTTCGAAGGGTCGTGGCAGCTCAGTGTTCTGCGTGGGGTTCTTGCTGCGTGGATTCGGATTGGCAGTCCATTGCACCACCTGCGCGCCAGGGGTATTGGAATCCCATTCCCTGAGTCTTGATCGACAGGTGATATCTTGACCTTCACTGTAAAATCATTCATGTTTCTTACTCCCCCTTAGGTTCTCTCAGGGCTATCCGCCCACTTTTCCGTGCCCACCATCTCCCACGGTCACGCGCTGCCTTCTTTGAATGCGCTTGCCACTAAGCACCTTCCTTAAATTATCCTTCTTGTGCAACCATGTTATATTCAGCAGCTAAATTCCGCAGGAATAAGGGGCTTAAGATTAAAGATCACCAAGGTTCTCAATTCATGCACTTCGTGGGTGTTGTCACATGTCAGACTTACCAACCCATGAACAACCACATGATGCGCGCAATGAGGCCCAACTCACCCAAAAGAAAGGATCCAAGTGGATCAAGTAATGCCCAGCACAAAGCTTCTGTCTTCCCCTTCTATACTAGACAATTGACCCAACTCGTCCAACCCCATTCTGGTTGAATGAGGAGTCCATCGTTTTTGAGACTGAGAAAACAACACACACACACACATGTAGCTTATATGGGTGTGGGTCCAATTTTGTATTCCAAATAGTTGGGTGTACTGTATATATATATTATATATATCTACACATAATACCAAAAATACGGCATGTTTAAAAATATTAAAAATAAAAATGACACATAACAATAAACTATACAAGTCAGGCCATTATGTAACCAGGACATACCAGGACCACCTCCGGCCCTGCCTGGACCTCCTGATCGCTCACTTCCTTCAGCTCCTCATTGATCACCCGCGCCGCGTTTCCGGGGGAGGTCCCCGCCAGGAGCTCACAGGCCTCCAAGCTTTGCTGCTCGCCTACCGGCGTCTGGTTTTTAACGGGATGCCAAGGGAAAGCCATTGGTATGTCATTTTGCTCCCCAAACAATGTATATACCGTAGCTATAGAGAACTGGCGAAAACAAGTGTCTCAGTGTATTGACTCTCAGGAACTTGCACAAGATCAAGGGTTGCAGGTCGGGTCTGATCAGGGTTGGAGTCGCGCGCTGCTGGGCACGGGTTTCACGTGGGTCAGCTTGCACAAGATATGTTTGAGATTTTGACAGCGCAAGCCCGCACAAGGTCAACGTAACGGCTTGGTCTCATTCGAAAACGCTCTTTCACTAGCAATTCCTAACGGTTTTTGGAGCATTTTGCAGCTATTAGTCCCCTTTGTGTGGCAGGCGGCTTGCGCGGAAGGTATTTTCTATGCGGCACACTTGACGTTAACAGTTCGCGGCCTGCGTGACCCAGTCATCAACCTCCAATGCGAGTTTTGACCACACACGCTCCCGATTCTATGAGTATTTCCCAGAGCAATGGTTTTACTAATATCTAGAACTATCTAGATTTATAGTAATGTATTATAATATCTGTGTGTATGTATATGTATATATATATACCACCCAAATCCCCAAGGCCACAAAAGTGTTGCTTCCCAATCTCTCAACCTGCATCTGGGGACCTCGGCCCACGAGTTTCGGTCACAATGTTTGGTCAAAACCTTCATCTTTAGGTTCAACTACTGTATAAAGGTTGTACTGTTTTACCCACTGTGTCACAACATCATTGTTTTCTTTTTACATCTTTTTACCATTTTTTACCACCCAGCCTGCCTTCAATTTCGATCTCGAAGCACAACTTCACTGCCTCTCCCAGCCGTCGCAGCTTGCTGTTCAACTGCGCCAGCGCATCGCCCGCGCAGGCCCAATTCAGAGTCACGGCGGCTTCGGCGATGGCTAAGCCGGCCAAGCGGATGAAGGCCTTCTTCAAGCCTTGCCTGGGAGATTGGCAGTGTGGTCAACCTAAAATTTCATTATTTATAATGATTAATACCTACTAAAATCTTCAAACCGCGATCCATTTCAAACGATTCAGACTCCGGGGATTGGTGTTTGAGGGCATTTTTATTGCGAAACTCATGGTCTGCTACAATCAAATATAGAACATGTCCTGTAAATATTCCGTTCCAAGAAATCTCGGAAGCTCCAAACACCGATGTTTATTGTTGGGGTATGATTTGTTGAAAAAAAATCCGGTACAAACATGCACAAACCGCAACTTTTCCACCTGCGGGAACATGTCTGTGGTTTCTGCCAAACATTTCCCTGGAATCCCTGGGGTGTCCCGAACTGTGAAGAATTTCATGGCTTTAAATTTTAAATGCAGGGGAAAAGAATGGAAAAAACATCTTCGCCCATTCTTGTCGGTTTCTTTACTTCATGCTCAGGGCAAACATGGGGTAAACATACCGTACCATACCCCTTCAACATCCAGGAAAACGGCCAAAACATCAGTAACTTTTATAGATGTATGGGGCTAACTGCAGATTCCATAATTAATCATCGAAACCTTGCAAAAGTATGCAAAAGTATGCAAAAGTGTCCACGGTTCTTTTCCGATTGCAAGAACAATACTTACTAAAGCAAGAAGTTGACCCACCATGTCAACTACAACTATCGTTAGTTGCTCAACCTCTCTCCATCGCCACTTTCTTGATATGTCTCGCCATTCAATTCGGGTGAAAACAACATCTCACACGGCATCTCCTCTCCCGGACATGTCTGGTCATTTCCCGTGCACCAATCCCAAACCCAAAAAATGATTCAATCTGAAATCCATCCAACATGGTTTTTCTCAATGCTGTTTACCATGAATCATCATGAATCTCACCCACTTTCAGATGTTTTCCATGGTCCCAGCGGCTGCACGTTGGGGTTGTTGATGAACTCCTCCGCGTTGGCCACGGTGAACTGCACCAGCCCCACGGCCGCGAAGACGCCGCTGAGCGCCGCCGACACGCCCAGACCCACGCCCAAACCAACGCCCACGGCCACGCCAAGGCTGACACCTGGCGATTTCCGGATGTAAAGGGCGTATGGGTAATGTCATGTTTATTCATGTTTCCATGGCTATAATACTATATGTTAAGTTACTAAACTGTAAAGTTAGGGTTCATCTTTTATTAGGTAGAATAATGTTATAAGTACTAATGTTTTTTTGAATGCTAAGGATGTTTTTTTGATGTTTTTTTTCCTTGAAAGTTTGACCTTTCCCATTCCCGGGGCACATCAACAGCAAACATCTCTGACAGCAATCGTTGCACCCGCCTACGGCCACTCCAATGTTGGTCTGCGCCGGCACGGGCACTGATCCCAAGGGCACAACGGGGATGCATGTGCCACAGCCAAAGGCCTCCTGTCCAGATGCTCACCACAGTTGGTCAGTTCATGGTTACGAACCCATCAATAC